AACCTGCAGGTTTGCTTCTCACCCTCAGAATTAGTAAAAATATATCATAAGAATATAATGCACCATGATCACACCAAAAAAGGCAGGGACATTTCTCTGCTCACCAACATTCTGCAGAAAAATAGAAGGATTGTAAAACACATGAACGGCAAATGTCTGAACTAAAAGAGGAGCAGTCATCCAACGGACACTGGCTGAAATCAAACTATCAATTTTTGGGGAAACCCTCCCCTCTTTTATCACATGCAACATTCCACACAGATGGAACTTCTACTTACACCACGCTTTAATCTCCTGTCCCTACCACAACCAGAACACAAATATAACCTCACATCTCCTGCCTTCCACAAGACCTGTAGCATGAGCAAGAGGCACTAATGCAGAACATGTGGCTACATGAACATACGCCACTCCTTCAAACTAAACCTACATACATAGGAAACCAGAAACAGGCTAAAAAAAAAAGGACCATGAAGATAGGGAACCATTAAAGACAAACTGTTATCAAAGAAAATCTCCGAGAAGTCTTCCTGGCCTTCAGTGCTAATGTTGAAATTCATCATCCCGAGCACCTGTAAATCATTGAGGTTTCAATCACATGTGCAACCCTAAAGTCTTCCTCTGGACAACATAGCAGGGGGAGTCATTTTAAGAAAGAGTCATCATCTCTCATTGATATTTTCTGCTGTGTGGCCTGCTCATCTACTTACAAATATGAAGCCGTAAGTGTAAGCACTTATCATAGACCTCTTTCTCAAGTTAAGTCATCCTAGTCTATCTTCAGCTGCCTGACCTGCTTACCAGTGGACGGAATCACTACAAAACAACACTCACACTTTCAAAAGAAAGAGAATTATCCAGACATGGTGAAATGAACTGTGACCTTGCAAGAAACAAAGGCCTGAAACAAAGTGTAATTCCATCTACAAAGAAACGACACATCACAAAGTTCCAATGAAATATGGATGGAAAAAGGAGCTTTTACACAGAAATTATGAGCCTTCTACCCATGCATCATTGTTTAACATGCACAGTTATTGTGCAAATATTTCGTGCTTGGAGGACTAGCAGCATCTTTCAGGACAGGGAATCCAGGATAATAAAAAAAATGGCACAGGCCTTGACACCAGGCATGAAAACAAACCATTGCTAAGCCCAATCCATATTGACGCACCTATTTTCATGGTTTGAAGCCAGCCTCTAACCCTCCTTGCTCTGCATTCACAGACTTCAGTTGCACCACGAACAATATCCCACACGTTGGCCATATGCGAGCCACAAGCTACACAGCATTTCATTCAGTGATATCTTGGGGAAATGGAGGTTTATCATGGCCTTTGTCTTGGCAGCTGAACACATTCCAGGGATGCATGGAAACTGTCTCCCAAGCCCAACAATTACATGTTTTCAATGTTTTAAGAGTTAACAGACATGATGAGGTCCAGTTTCAGACCTAGATACACGAAAAAAACCCAACCACCCACAAAAAAAACCCCAACAAAACAAGGCAAGAAAGGGAAATCTGCAGAAGTGAAGGAATTACTGCTTTACATTTCACATTATGTAAAGTACACAGATTAACTGCCAGGTATGTCAGATCATGAGGTACACAAGAAAGGTATCTAGTGGGTAAAAAGTCCACGGGAGGCGCACAGAGGAGCTCACACAAATGAACAGAGTCACAGTTTCTCCAGGTAACTTCTTTGGACAGTAAAAAGAGAAAAATACATGGAACCAGAACTGTGGGCCTCATCTAACAACTAGGACCAACTGAACTTTTACACCATCTTTACATCGTTCAGACTTTTCAGATTAGACCCCAGAAGACTTTTTCACATGCCCTGACTCTGGACAGACAGAGTTATTCACCCTGCCCAAACATCACGCAACACGAAAGCATCCTTTGCAAACAGACACCGTTGAGAGAAAAGTCACACACACAACTTCACCTAACAGAGAATAAGGATCCCAACCTTGACATATGCAAAGAGATTTCTTTATTTTTCACACTCTTTTGACAAAATGTCAAATGTTCTCAAGAGCAGAAGCAATACACTGCTCCAGTAAAGACCCAGTGGTCAAAGTATCAACTCAAAGATACCATCCCCCAACTACAGCACATTGAGCAACTTGGAAGACACGTGACTCTCAAATCTTAACCGCAAGAGTAAAACACCTCCAGTCCTATTTTATGCAGTCCAGCAATGAACACTGATCTTCCAAATTTGGAAATGCACTCCATTGAAAGAAATACAGCATGGGCAACATCTCCTTACCATGTGTAGTATTTGACTTCTTTTCCTGTCTATGTGACAAGACAGAGCATTTCTTCCAGTGAGAGTTTGAAAAAGAAAACCATGTCTATAGAAGTCTTTCTCTTTACAGTTGTAAAAATATGGGACAGTCAGAGTAAGAGATCAGGTGACATCTTCGATGCATTATCAGAGACAACTGCCCACCAATTGCTGACCACAAAGAGCAAGGCAAGAAGTTGACACATGCCCAAATTCGACATATGCACGAGGATCACCCAGGGACTTCACATTGATATCTCCATATCTCTGTAGTAAGACAAAGATACATTGTCTCCACACTACACCTCACAGAAGAAACAACAAGGATCTAAAAGTAAAGGAGGAGAGGTCCTCCAGGAGAGACTGGCTCAGTGAACAGTATTTAAAACAGGAACGACAAGATAAAAACACAAAGTAGCGCTCAAGGCAAGAGCAGCCCCACTTCTCCCGACGCCCACACCAAGTGCAACGGTGAGCAACGAGCCCACCCTCACCTCAGGGAAGCTTTGCCTCCCTTGTCACTAAACGTACCTACGCGGGACACGGAAGACAGGGGGTGGAAAAGGGCAGAGAAGCAGGAGAGGGAAGCGTCTTGGAGCACGCGTGGTGCGAGGAACTCACCGAGGGAGCGTCGGGGTCGGGGTCGGGTTCGGCGCGGCGGGCGGCGGCAGGGTCCTCCCCGAGCAGCGGCGCGGGCTCGTCGGGCGGCGGGCGGGCCGGCAGGGTGTCGCAGCAGCTGCCGCCCGAGAAGCGGAGCTGGCTCTTGCGCGAGTCGGCCGTGAGCGACACCTCGTGCGAGTAGGAGTGCAGGAAGGCGCGGACGCCGTCGATGCCCACGAAGTGCGAG